TTTTGACGTGTTTGTCCTTTTTTTCATACTAGGGATTGTGTTTACAAACATAAAAGCCAATCAAAGTCTACCTCCACACGTGAACTATAAGATACGTATGAACGCCACGTACTTCACGCCACCAACTGATAGTATCCGGGATAACTATTGGAGACCTGGGCCACAGTCTTGGGGACAGAGTTACTATGATCTTGGATTCGTTTGGCTGCAGGATCAAATAGAACGTGCTATTGTAAACCTTCATTCAGGCCGTGAAGTCATTAAACCAGCTGTATATTTACACGAGATGCCATACCCTTGTTATGCTAAAGACAGGTTTGTCATACCATACACACTCATTATGTCTCATTACATTACATTTTGTTGTTCCGAAAAGTTAATGCCGTATGTATGATGGCGTCATTTTACTACCACTACCAAAATGCTTCGCGAGTTTTCTTTTTTATTCACATTTATATTTCCACATGAGAATAGTAAGACGATTGGTGCCAATTAATTGAGCAAAAGAAAGTGTGTAAGGGAGTCTGGTTGTGGAAGTAAATGACGCTATAATGCAAGTGACCTTTTGTGAGTTTGAATTTGCACGAGGTTAACCAGGCGGTTGCCTGCTACCAGGCAATGCTCATCAAGTCTGGTCGTCAGAAATGCTAAGATCATAAAATCCACTCTTCCATTCTGGAGAAAAAAGAGGGACTGGTAACATTCATTCAATGTAAACAACATTAACTCACAAATAGATTGGGATTAAAGCAATAGAAATGACATTGTATGGGTTCATCCTGGAGAGAAGGAGCGTCTCTCGCTGGAACAGCGTTGTTTCCATTCGCGCTCACGTCACGTTCCCGCTAGCTTTCTTTTTTTCCAAATATTTTGATTTTGATTTGCGATTGAAAAACAAATGATAATTCGAAAATTCGAAAATGGTGATCCCCATTTTTTATTTGAGATTTTTAATAAGATAGGTGTTAGGTGATATATCGAAATATTATAAAGGAAAGATTATGGACTAAGTTTTCTAATATTATGATTTAAATATAGCAGTTGAAGGGTGAGAATTCAGAACGTTCGTAGGGCGTACATACTTGCTTAGCTAGCTTAAAGTGCCTATCACCCTTCTGACAATATTCTCAGTATTGATTCTACATGGGGTAAGATGTTGAATAACCCGAAAAAATTATATAGAGTGCGGCTTCTTGAAGTTATGAAGGTTTTTCCATGTCATATGGAGTATACGGAGCAGCTCTCGCTTCAACTTTCGTGTCAAGTGACTTTAACAGCTGTAAAATCGCCCAACTGATGTTTCTTTCCTTCTTAATTCCCAAATATAACAAGCATTGAGTCCTCCTACTGATAAAGCTTGACTTTTTTAGCATTTTGAATCCATTTTTAAGATAAAAATCCACCATTTTCTGATAACTTCCAGAGAAGGAAGGCTGTTCTGTTGATATTGCAACTGTTATAATCTGATTGGCTAATTCAATTTCTATTGTTTTTTAGCCAATCAGAATTCTGAAAAAATGTAATCTGCACTGGTATTACAGAGTTTTTGCACTGGTATTTCATTTGAACCGCACTGTTGTCAGCCAATCAGAATTGAGTAAATTTTTCATGTAAACTATTATGACTTAAAAAGGGTGAACTTGCACGCATTCTGATGACTAAACGAAGTCGGAGACCCCCATGTTTATTTGGTTATTTAACTTCTAGTATGATGTACGTAGCTTCATCATACAAAATTCTTTAAAAATCTAGCGATGGGAACTTTTGCTCGTGAACGTCCTTAAATATACGATTGAATTTTTGGCGAAGCCCTTTAGGGGTCCTTTGATTTTTCAGCGATACGGATTTTATGTTCAAGTGTTACCGATACGATACTCTGTAACTTATATCAACCAGAACGATATTCCCCAAGCAATCCATCGGTTGCTATGTGACGTCACGTTTGGAAACAACACTGACCTATTCAAATTTGAGGCCGGAAACAATATAGATAAACCTCCCTCCTGCTTATTATCTATATTTTAGTGAAGTTTATTGGGTGAATGCTCTGCATTGTGTCTTTTTAGGTTCATGTTCGTCATTCAGCACATGATGCCATTGTGCATGACAGTATCTTGGATTTACACTGTAGCAATTGTGGTTCGTTCTATTGTGTACGAAAAAGAACAACGACTAAAAGAAGTCATGAAGATGATGGGACTGAGCAATGTGGTTCACTGGGTGGCGTGGTTCATCACAAGCATGTCAGTCATGTCTGTTACTGTATTACTGCTAACTATTATATTAAAGGTATACACTACGATAAAGTTTCTGTTCAAACCCTTGGTATGGACTTGCCGTGCCAGACCTGCAACTGAATGACAAATCTTTTTGTTTCTTTCAGTATGGCAAGGTTCTGGCCTACAGTGATCCGTTGATTATTTGGCTGTCTCTAATGCTCTTCGCCATCGTCACCATCGTCTTCTGTTTCTTAATCAGTGCGTTTTTCTCCAAAGCAAAGTTAGCTGCAGCCTGTGGTGGTATCATCTACTTCTTAACCTACATGCCTTATGTCTTCATATCCATTAGGGAAGGAGCTGGTCACGTGTCCATCAACATCCCCGAGAAAATGGCCGCCAGTCTGTTGTCTACATCTGCATTTGGTCTTGGTGCTCGTTATTTCGCATTGTATGAAGAACAGGGTGAAGGGGTTCAGTGGTCAAACATTGGACAAAGCCCGGTAAGGATCGTCTTCAGTCTGCCGTCTTATATTTTACAATTATCACTCCCCGTAAGGGGCTCTACCGTAAGGTTTCGATAATACGCACTACCACTACATTCTAATTCACTGATGATATTTTGGGTTATGTCTTTTTGTTTCAGGTAAAGGGAGACGAGTTCACTCTGTTGAAGGTGTTATATTTTTTAGTGTTCGACACGTTTCTTTACGTTATCTTGGTTTGGTACATCGAGGCTGTTCACCCCGGGTCTTATGGCCTGCCACGCCCTTGGTATTTCCCCTTTCAGTTGACCTACTGGTTTGGTCACAATACCAAAGCGTGTTCACAATTTAGTCGAAAGAACTACAGTAGGATGACAAATGATGAACTAGAGGAAGCACCACGAACACCTGGACTGTTAGCTTACGAGAACGAACCCATCCACCTCCCCCTGGGGGTGACTATTGACCATCTTGAAAAGRTCTATAAATCAGGAATCAAAGCGGTTGATGGCTTGGCTCTTAACCTTTACGAGGGCCAGATCACATCCTTCTTGGGACACAACGGTGCTGGCAAGACCACCACAATGTCGATTTTAACTGGTCTTTTTCCACCAACCAAAGGCACTGCATTTATCTATGGTTATGATATTCGTTTCGACATGGATATTATACGCCGCAATCTTGGCATGTGTCCACAGCACAATGTACTGTTTGATAGGTATACCTATGATTCCTCTCGAAATGTTGCCATGTTATTCCCTACTGCACCAGTAGGCAAGGGATCGTATCAACTAGACAAGATAAATGTATTATCTGTAGGTTTTCCTGCAGATATTACATCATTTATCATGTCAAGTTCATTTCATGGTCACAAATGGACAGAGCTTGAAATTCACCATGTTGGTCAATCTGGTCGCTTTGTTATCGTCAACCGACATGGCTCCTATGACGTAACATAACCCAAAGGATATGTACTATTTCAATTGTTAGGTTACAAAATTTAGATGAATTTGATTTTAGTTCGTGTGATAGAGTGAAGGCTTATAACCCGTCAAATTAAAAATTAAAAAAATCTAGTCAAACTGTAATAGTCAAATAGACACACACAAACACACAAAAACGATGGAATTGGGGACTACTAATGTGTATTAGATAAAGGTTAAAACGCAAGGGCAAGGGTTTGCATTGAAATTCAAGACCGAGGGCCGCAATGCAAATCCGGTCACTCGCATTTTAACTGGTTTAAAAAACAACCAAACCCTATTTTTAATGTTTGATGGAGGGTTTGAATTTCGATTGAAAATCTGTCCTGGGTTTTGAATTCAGCCCCGCTCTCCCCTATTAGTATCAATGCTGAATTCGAAACCCGGGACAGGTTTGCCATCGAAATTCAAACCCGACATCAAACAATAGAAAGAGGGAGTGATTGGTTGTTAATATAATGTCTATTTCACAGGTTAAGTGACTTCACTGTATCGCATGATATCGAGGCCTCGGCCGTTTTACTGCCTCGGGCCACAGCTTCGGCAGATAACACGCCCATGTTCTTGATAATAAATATATTATGCTCAACCTATTTGTTTGCCATTGTCACTCACAGGTTAACCGTAGATGAGCACTTGTGGTTCTATGCTCGCATGAAGGGTTTGTCAACGACTAAAGTCAAGAAAGAGATGGACAAGTAAGTTATGCATATTTTCCATTTTGATTACAGTATTCGTAGGTTGTTATATGGATCGAGAGGGATGTAAAATAATAGACTCGGTAATAATTCTGCTTCTGGTAACAACTGAATAATTCCCAAAACTAGACTTTCCACGTATGGTGACAGAGCATTCAGTGCTGCTGCTCCAAAGCTATGGAACAATCGTCCATCTTATTTCAAACAAGCCACTAATAATGAAGTATTTAATTCTGAATTAAAGACTCTTCTTTTTCGCAAAGCCTACGAATTATGACTATTACAGGTTTTAGTTAAGTTTACAATCTTATCTTATTCTGTAATAGGTTCTAAGAACATATTATTATTATTATTATTATCTTTATTTACAATTTGCTTCAATTTTGCTTACAAAATTTACCAAAATTACACCAGTTGATCTTCAATTCACTTTCTCCATTCTAAAAAGCTACTAATAGTCAACAACTATAACTACAAAATTCCAAATTATTGCACCATTTGAGTTTCATGTCGTGTTAGATATTCGAATAACCGAAAATTTCAATTCGAAGGGAAGCGGAAATRAAAGAATACGATCGAGTAACGACTGGGTACGATTCTACAGCTAGGAGGCCTGGATCTCGAGCTAGCGTATTGCTTACTATCAATCACGTGACTTTTTGGAGTTGACTGGGGGGCAAACAAGCGGTTGACTGGGGGGCAACTAGCGGATGTTAAGTCAARACATATCAAAATAAGTCCTCAAACTATTGTATTTGACTATTTTCACGACATCAAACCAGAAAACAAGAGATCATAACAACCTCCAGGATTCTACAAGCCATCAAAAAGAGCTATTACCGGAATCGACGTCTATTGATAGCAACCTATTCATGATATGGCTAGGACGAGGTGTAGGAATTTCACTACCATCTAGATAAAGCTCTGGTCTATTGATGTAGGAAGTTTGAAGAAAAAACGTGAAGCCGTTTTGAAGAACAACGGCGAAAATGTGATTTTTAGCTAATTTCTTATATTTGAGTAGCCTGCGTCACATCCGGAATTTTCTTCGTAAATACTCCGGATGTGACGCAGGCTAATATTTGAGGTTTACGACGACAATAGCGCAGCGCAACCGTGACGTCATAAAAAACGAAGACAAAGGCGAAATTCGGACGAACAAACTTACAAGTTTACTTTCAGCAGATAATTTTCAAAGCCGATCGCAGTTGATCTTAGTATACATGGGTTATTATTGTAACTTTAAGTAGAAATAATAAATTATAAATTAGGCTAATGTAAAAAACTAAAATATGGAAAATATATTGTACAAAAAATGTACGAATTGTAAAGCTAACTAAAAAAATTTGCGTTTGAAGACTTGAACGCTACTAGAGCTCCATAATTATTGACTTAGATCATTCCATTCTTTAACAGCCTGAGCTCGAGTTATCTTTACTCCTAATATTATTATCATAGATATCAGCATTGTTAGTGAATGTAAAACTATGCGAGGCTAGATTGTTAATACGCTTGTAAATATATACTATGTAGTGTTCGACGTTCCTCCAGGAACCCAACCCAGTGCCTTAAGAGTCGCTTATCAGTCGCTGACGAGTGTAAAGGCCTGTCTAAAATAATTTTATCTTATCTTTATCTTACGTAAATGACTTAGACGTTGATTTATCTAGAAAGACATAACCTCTGCATGATCTTTCCACGTAAAACCAGATGATAAAGTTACGCCTAGATACTTAAGAGTATCGTTTCTTAAAATAACATTATTATGTACTGTAATGGATATATCATGCGCTAAATTGTTAGTTTTCTTACTACCACCAATAAGCATAGATTTACTCTTATCTAGATTTAGCGATAATTCGTTGCAATTAAGCCAAGGCGAGAATTGAGTGTATTAAGGCTGTTCAGTATATCGCTAACGTTCGAAGAAAAACAGTACAGCACAGTATCATGGGCATAAATTGACATCTTGCAGTGTTCAGGTACACTCGACAAATCATTGTTATAGATGACAAACCACATAGGGCCCAAAATACTTCCTTGTGGTACCCCATGACTTGTAGGCAGGGCATCTGACAGTTCACTTCCGCATGATGTGCGTTGCGTTCTGTTGCCAAGATAAGACTTGAACCAACAAGGCGCATCCTATGAGAGACCAACAGATTTTAATTTTGACAATAAGATCTTGTGGTCCATTACCCTGCTCCATTTTCCCTAGTACGTCGTCAGCAAGAGTTCTTTGGTCTATTCTATTCAAAGAACTATAATTTAATAAGTATTTCCTGTGTATAATAAAGGATTCCATTAAGGAAATGCCATGTAAAAAAATAATGTCGAAAATAATCTTGATGGGATACCACTTTTTCACCACTTTCACTGSATCTTCGCTAAAAAGGCTTTTAGGGGTTTAACACTTGTGGTTTGAACATTTTGGATTATTGAGCCAGATAAGAATATATCACTAAACCCCCCTTTCGCTGGACCCAGAAGGTTTATCATCTTGGTGTATCGTGGGTATAATAGTCCTATTAATGTTTGAACTCGTTTCAGGCTTGTGCAAGATGTAGGCTTACCTAACAAACGGCATTGTGCCGTTGAAACTCTGAGCGGTGGTATGAAGCGTAAACTGTCTGTTGCCATGGCATTCGTGGGTGGTTCTCGTACAGTGATCTTAGATGAGCCTACAGCAGGTGTTGATCCGTATGCGAGGAGAGCGATATGGGATTTGCTTATTAGATACAAGAAAGGTATTGAAATCAAAGACTACTTCTTCTTCTGCATTGACACTACTGCAATGTTGCTTGCAGTGGTGTGATGTTAGGAGCAAATGAAGTGCGACATTTGGCTGGCTAGAATTCTGCGGTTATGTATGTGAATAGCATTCCTTGATTAATTTTGTTTGTTTGTAATAACATTTTGGATATGTGTGACACAAATCCCTCGAAAGGTGTGTAACTATAAGCATTGCAGATGCACCACATGTCTGAGCCTTTAGTTGACAGTGCGGTTCAATCGTTCATGTCATTATGACAACAGAACGGAACACTAATGAAACTTGAGATAAAAAGCTCAAGAGTAAATGTTGACAGTTTTATTTTTTCGGTACATTTATCATGCATGTCGATTGTTATTGGCAGGTCGTACTATACTTTTATCAACACACTTCATGGAGGAAGCTGATATTCTGGGTGATAGAATTGCAATTATTTCAAATGGGAAACTTCGATGTGTCGGCTCACCGTTGTTCTTAAAGAGTCGCTTCGGTGAAGGCTACAGTCTTACACTAGTCAGAAAACAGGACCGTTCTCCTAGAGGATCTTCTAGCGATCTTACTACCACAGAAACACGCTCTTCTTCGAGTTCATTGTCAGGTGGAAGATCCAGGACAAGTGAGTGTTTTATTATAAGTAATAACATAGCACGAGGGAAATTAGCGTATTTCCCAGTTAAACACTCGTGTCTATATAATAAATATTTTTATATTTTAATCCTTTCTAATGCTGCACGGTCCAAATTTGTAATTACTTTGTTTATTGATTTATCTACTGATTTAACTGGTCAATTTTATTCTATCAAAGCTGTGCTGTCTCCTGGACCTGAGAATCAAGAGGAAAAGCTCACCAGTCTCATCACGTCACACATCCCAGCAGCTCAGATAAAGAACATAACTCAACGAGAATTCACCTACATTCTACCTGATAACTCGGTTGAAAAAGGGGCATTTGAAAAACTGTTCACAGACCTTGAATCGAATATTGAAGCCCTTGGGATAGACAGTTATGGCATTATGGACACATCACTGGAAGAAGTATGCTTTTTCCCTCTATCGGCTTAGATAAATACTATCTTCTTTTGGTTGCGTTAGATTTTGAACTTGCTTTCATGCTTGCTTTCCTGACTTACCTCTGTTTTCYATTGATTTTTGCTATCATTTAACAGGTTTTCCTAAAAGTAACTGATGTAACAACAACAGAGAAAGGTAAATCAATTACTGACAGACTAAAACTATACACAAAGCGAAAGTGGTACTCAACAGTAGACTGTAAAGATTTTCTGTATTAGCGTTAAAAGGATGTTGCCGTAGCATTACGAAAATATTCAATATYGTAACATACCATGCATGATAATATCTGACAGATCAATAATTTTCAAATCACATCGTTTGCTATGGTGTCTTTTGTTCAGATAATATCGCAACAAGCCAAGAGTCTTTTACCTCACTTGCGGCCCAGAACTTTTCTTCCATGGAAAGAGAGGATTGCCTGGAGCTGAATGACTATTCAAGAAACGATGATAGAGAAAATCTTTTAACGGTCTCGAATTCTGAAGAAGACGTAAACCGTAGCAGACCAACTAATGGTATGTAAATCAATATTGTATAATTGTTGTACCATTGTACCATTGACATGATCATTGTGACATATCCCTGACATATCCCTGTCAGTTTATACAAAATTATGGAAAATATGGCCTGCGTTGCCGGAGGTTTTGCTGTTGTYTTTTTTAACGCGGTGGGATGGAGGGGTGGAGGGGGGTTGGGGAGGGAAAGAGCGCCTGCCCGGAAACCCTAGGATTTTGAGTAGCCCGTCCGCTGGAGGACGGGAATTGGTGGTTGGCTGAAACGCTCTCAATCAAAATGATATGTATGAAATCTGTCAGTTTAATACTTACAATCGTCTAAAATGTGTTTCATTTTGGCGTCCGATGCGTTTTGACACTCTCTACTCGTGCAAAACAATTACACAAGACTGGCAACTAGATGCCGTCTGGACTCCAATTGCACTCGCATTCACCTCGAAATCTATCGGAAAAAATAATTCCATGCTCTCCAAACTCTGGGACATGAAAGAATGATGATAATCAATACGTAAGATAATTTTCGAGTTCATCGGCGAATTTTAGTATGTTGTGGTTCGAGTGACGGTTTGCATTTTTTGCATGATTTGGCGCTACACTCGAGTAGACATATTATCGTTACGCTACGATAAGCRGGTCAGAGATCGGCTACTCAAAATCCTAGGGTTTCCAGGCAGGCGTAGCCTCCACCGCAGGAATCCCCACTCCTCCTCCTCTCTAATTCCTAGTTCTTCTCTCGTATAGAATTTAGGGATCCTAACAGAGAATACATGGAGTATGGGGTGGCCTGCGGAGGAGGCTGGGGCACGCCGTCTTTCCTTCTTTCCCCATTCCGCCCCCCCCCCAAAAACCCAGACCGACGGCAACGCAAGCTATGGAAAATATGTCTAATTACTAGCCTATATTGGAGGGATGTAAAAGAACCACTAAGGACAAAGAAATCCTGGCATTGACCACCCTCAGTGCCTACACCTCATACTAACCACCTCTTGTGGTTTATCATACTAACCAACTCACTGTGGCTTTGAGCATATCCATATGGAGAAGAGCACTATATAAAAATCGAAATCATGAAATTATACTAAATAAGAGCACAACATGGAATATCCTTGGCTTTCAAGGGTCACATGTTTTCCATGACTGTTAGCAAACAGATGTGAAATTGATTTCTAGTTTGTGAAATTTCTTCTTCTTCCTTTCAGTTGAAAAAACTGGGGCTAGTGGTGTTGGAAGCCACACACTGACAAGGTCAGCCCTAAAGTGGCAGCAGTTCTATGCTCTGATCCTCAAACGTTTCCACCATGCTCGTCGTAATTTTAAAGGCGTGATTTCACAGATTCTTTTGCCAGCTTTGTTTATAAGCATTGCTATGACTATGGCTCTATCTCTACCTCCGCTCCCCGATCTACCACCTCTGCAGTTATCCCCATCAATGTTTCCACGTCGAAATTTCATTCCGTTTGGAAATGAAGCCAAAGGGATGAATCTGTTGGCCAAACGGATGGAACAAACACTGACTCTACCTTCAGGAGTTGGTGCAACATGCTGTTTACAGTCATCCAAATTATCACTAGTAAACCACACTCAACTAACTAAAGACCAGTTAGCAAACCTGTTTGACGAGTCCTGCCGAGAAGCTATAGATGATGTGTCTAGTGTTTATCTTAAGCCAACAAACGAAAAGTTCTCTTACATTTACTACTCCAATAGCTCAATGAATTTATCAGAGTCTGTAACACACCAAGAAACTGGTCCTGGTTGCAAATGTTCAGCCAATGGTACATGGTATTTGTGCAGTAAAGGTGCTGCTGGGAAACGTCCAGATGAATTGATTACGATAACTCTTGATACTTTGCAAAATATTACTGGGAGAAACATGTCTAAATATCTTCTGTATACCACTCAGGCATTTAGAAGACATAGGTTAGTTAAGTCATACTAGAACAAATTATATCCTTTCTTGCTGCTTTTATCTCATTTACGWCACAAATGCTTTGTATTGAGACAAATTAAGGACATTCATGGGCACGAAATCCCGTAATCAGATATTTTAAGATTTTGCACGATGAAAGAACATCATACTAGAAGTAAACTAGGCAAATAGAAAAGGGGGTCCCCGACTTCGTTTAGTCGTCAGAATACGTGGGAGTTCAACCTTTTTACGGTCAAAAATATTTCACTGAAAAAAAAGAAAGTCCCCATTTTTCACTAGAAATAACGAAATAACTAGTAAGCATTTGCAGTGTTAAAAATTAGAAATATTGTGCTATTAGTGTGGACTTGAAGCCTTCACGTTACGTGAAATTATTTATATTCCAATTATACACAATATATGTTTAAAAAGTTTTCTCTAAAGTTAGGTATTACCGGGTACTTTTAAAAACGAAATAAAAATGGGATTCCCGACTTTTTCTTAGAGCTACAAGAGATAAAAGAAATTTTTATGAGATTTTGCTTATCAAAAACGATGGAATGATGTCATCATCAAATCATGCGTAGAAAGGATGCGCGCGAACAATGCCCATGAACGTGCCTAAATGAAACGTTACGCACCAATACCACCTGATGTAAGCTATTGTGTGCTTCTTTAATCGTTTCAGGTATGGTGGACTGTCTTTTGGTAATGTTGTGAAGTTCATCCCTGAGAAGTTTGAAAAAGTACCTGTTGCATCTATTAGAAGGCTGGCAGTAAGAGAAGCAGTCAAGGTACGCGATAAACTATTCGAGGTCCAATCGAAAAGGCAGTATCTTGATGATGATGATGATGATGATGATGATGATGATGATGATGATGATGATGATGATGATGATAAACTTTATTTAATGAAGGTATACAATTTATCGGCCATACGATTATCCGTTAATCATATATGGGGCAAAATTCAACAAAAAAAATTCGTGACCCATTTACGGAAAACATTTATCCAAACAAGGAACTAAGGAATCTGCAGTAACCCTAATCCATGCCTTAATTACTAGGAGATTTGATTACTGCAACAGTCTGTACTATGGCTTTCCTAATAGCCCACTTCCGATATAAGCTTCGATTGTCACGCACAAAGGTTTCAGTATGAGGCTACGTAATAAACACTCAGTCATTCGTGACAGGCGGTAATGATAAATTTAATATAGCACGTAGCCTTATACTGCAACCTTTGTGCGTGACAATCGAGCATATGTCGGAGGTGGGCTATTGCCAACTTCACAAATAGGCCCTTTGCAGTTTACAGTCGCGTGTCCCTACTGGTGAGCAAAATTTTTTATTTTATTTTAGATGGGTAATTCTTCTTAGCTACTTGTAAAGAACTGAATGAAACGATATGTAACCAGYATGTCACGAAATTTAGTTCCATTGCGATCCCTCGAAACAGGTTGTGGAAAGATTGTTTGCTCGCCAGTATATTTCACCCATGGGAATCAAGATGTTCATTCATTTGCTCTCAGTGAATTAATCAGCACGTGATTACTGAGCTGCAAAGGRCCTATTGCAGCGTGTTTTGAATGCACCTGCTCGCTTAGTTTTTTTCTGTATCTAGATTCTGTCAAATCACCCCTTTGTTACGGGAATTACACTAGTTACCTGTCTGTTTTCGTGTCGAATATAAATTAATTTAAATTACTTTTAAAGTTCTTAAAGGGCTTGCTCCACTCTAACTAGCCGAGCTTATTTCAGTTAGCCTCAGTCTACGGATAACCTTAAAAAGAATAGTAATGGCACATAGCAATGGTACCCTGGGTTATCGCGCTTTAGAAGTCAAATTATTATTATTAAGATGTTTAGCTCTTTCGACCATAGGAAGCCAACATTTCTATAGATTTCAAATATGCTTAAGATTATTTAAGATAGCTGTTTCTGCTCTTCTCTGCACTTGGTTTACGCGTTTCGATTGATCTTTCGAGATATTACTCCAAACAACGATCCCATAATCAATCAATATAGTGGCAAAAGAGATTTGATTCTTCGTAGAAGAGCTAATCTACTATTTAATTTTATAAAATAACTGTTATGAATGTCGCRTTCTGATTGGTTTGGAGCGCGTGCTTTATGAGAGCACATTGCACGCGCGCGCACTTTCCGTTGCGTCATTCCTATCTATTATTGTAATTTGTATTTTATAAAAGAAATAAAAAACTTGCTTGCTGTGCTGTGTGCAGTCATAAAGCATTTGGGGGTTGGCAGAACACTCAAGAAGTGTCGAAAAGCACTCCGCTACGCATCGTGCTTCTCCTTACACTTCTCTCGTGTTCTGCCAACCCCCGCGTGCATTATGACAGCACACAGCACGCGCGCGCGTTTTCTATTTCTTCATCTTAATCAAGTTGGCAGTCATTTATCAGTCAATGTGTGTTTATTTTTAGTCTTGGTATAATAACAAGGGATACCATGCACTTCCGACATATCTGAACGTTATGAACAATGCCATCTTGAGAGCTTCACTTGATAAAAATAAAGGAAATCCGTCAATATACGGTGAGTAAAAATTTAGTTGTAGCTAGAATACCATGCATTCAAGAATATGCTTTTGAATATGAGATTAGAATGATGCTACTGGGGTCTGCAAATAAAAACAACATCACCATTTTTTATTTCGCTGCTCTTTTTTAGTTCAAGTCAAAGGATGATCGTTTTTTACTGAAGTAAAACAGTTGATAGATAGATAATTTGTAACACCGTATGGTATGTAAAAATGAAACTGACGTTTCGGACGTTAGTCCTTCATCGGAGTAAACGAGAGATGAATGTGGAAATGTGTTTATATAGTGAGCGTGGATGATAAATAACCAATGAGAGATAAGTATAAGGGAAAACAAAAGGAAACAAGAGGATCGAAAGTAACAATAGACTAATTAAACGAGAAGCATTCGTTCATGCCAAGGGGATTAAGCGTGCCCAAGGTGTGAATTAGCCTCATTTCTTTAGTTTTGCGGCAATCGTTATTCGTTAATTACTGAAGTAGCGGACTTATCACTTTTTAGCAATTTAATTGTCGATTGTGTGTCGTATTTTTGCTACCTTTGGCTGGTTAGCTTCCTCTTAAGAAATGTACGTACTCCACTACTGGAAGGTGACTACGCCATTCGCCCTTTGAGGCCACCTAGGGTACTTTATAAAAGGTCTTTTTTTAAATGATTGAATTTATTCCCACAACAGGAATAAGCGTGTACAACCATCCATTCCCATTCAATAGTACTTCGAATATTCATCTTTCTGCAGACTACCTGTAAGTAAATGTTCTTTCGTTTTTTCTTACTGACAAAATTCTTCATGAAGTAGTAATACGTGCAATACTAATGCGTGGGTTCTTCTGTGGATCAGACGACAAGGAACAGATTTGGTCATCGCTATTTTTGTCATCATCGCCATGTCCTTCGTGCCTGCAAGCTTTGTTGTGTTCTTAGTGACGGAAAGGTCTTCCAAAGCTAAACATCTTCAGTTTGTTAGTGGAGTCGATCCTGCTATTTACTGGCTAGCAAATTATCTCTGGGATATGGTAGGTTTTGACATATGTTAATGATATGTGAATTCTGGCCATGCACTCAATATTAACTAATGGGTATAGGGCAACCAGACATACGCACAACAAATGATGCATGCCACGTTGCTGGCGAGTGTTTTGGGTGATGTTACATCTCACATCGCATATACATCAACCCTTAACTATGAATTAAGAAAAAATACCAACAAAGCGCATAATTTTGGCCAGTGGTACTCGTAACATTGGCACGAGTATACAAAGAACTGCTTTAAACTAACTTATTAGTCTTATTAGTCTAATTCTTTCGCTCCTGGTGGCGAAATCCTTGCTTCAAAATGTTCTGACTGCTTAATGTATAAGATGTTTTTTTCTTGGATTGTGGGAGATAAGCTGCAGTACTTCGCTGCTGCAGTGTTATGGATGGTGCTATTGTTCAGGGTGCATTGTACTGAGCACTTTATTATTTTTAACATTTTATCTTATCTTATTTTTTCATTTACACAGTGTAACTACTTGATTCCCGCAGCAGCTTGTATTACCCTGCTTTATCTGTTCAGTGTTCCAGCTTATGCTTCGCCAACGAACTACCCTGCTGTTGTCAGTCTCTTTATGTTGTATGGGTGAGTCGATGAACAAGTCACTCTTTCGTTGATTAAAACTGTGAATCCTAATGTTTTGATATACTGACATGTTTTTGCAGTTGGTCTATAACACCAATGATGTATCCAAGTGCCTTCTGTTTCAATGAAGCCAGTTCAGCTTATGTGGCGATGATAGTGCTTAATTTGTTTGTTGGCATCACGGCTACTGTAACTACCTTTATCTTACAACTGTTTCCTGATGATGAGGTTAGTTACATGTTTTATCCATGAATTCGCATTGTTCATTCATCTGTATGTAACCCACAGGATTTCTTCAGTTTACCCTGTCATTGATTAATTGAGGCCTCGCCTCCCTCTCCTTCTTCCTTCCATACACCAGTTTATTTCACATAATTTTCTTATTTCTTCTCTGGTTCGGTAGCGAGGGTCACGTGTGTGTGTGTGTTGGGGAGGGGGGGGGGGTGGTATATAGTAAAACAGACCCCTGGATTTACAATCTTATTGAAATGTTTGTCTCGTGGAATATTTTAATTTGTGATTTTTCTTAAAGGTATTGACTGACATCAACAGTATTCTTAAGGATGTCAGTCTAGGATTTCCGAACTATTGTCTTGGGCGTGGGCTAATGGACTTAGCTTATAATCAGTACATGACAGAATATTACACCCAAATCGGTAAGTTACGCTCAAAAAGGTATTGCATGCCTCAAGTATGGAATTAATGAATTAAGTTCAAAATTTTCATAGTCTAATTTCCGCCCACTTTTTTGCAGGAGAAAATGAAAAGATTCGCTCGCCGTTTGAGTGGATGATTGTCAGCCGGAACCTTTTCTGCATGTTTTTTGAAGGAATCATATTTTTTATCCTCACTATTCTCATGGAATACAGGTTCTTTTTAAAACCAAGGTACTATTCTCCATCAARCTTGATGAATTAATCACTATTGCCATCCTGGAACGGCGGAATTAAAGTGCATAAAGTTTATGCAAAGGCATATGAACTAAAAGTAGGAATTCCCGCGCCATCAATAGCACTCTTTGATGCTATTCTTAGAATCTTTGATGCTATTTTTTAGAATCATTCAATTTAACGGTTGCTTTTCTGAACATACATATACTGTACGCGCTCTACTCTGTTTGCTAATGTGTTCTTTTGTGTTTCAAAAAAGTAAGCAAACGGCGTAAAGCAGTATGCGCGTGCAGAAAAACAACCAGCTGATCTGGTTTCTAATAAGAGGTTGGTGACGATGGCACAATAACTGAGTTTTCAATCTGATTGGTTCAAAGGGGTGCGATTAATTCCTGAATTGCATCCTTAGGAGCTCTTAATCGCATCCTAAAAAAACATCAATAAAAAAAACAACAACAACAGCAACAAAAAAACAACAAAACAAAAACAAACAAAAAAAACAAAAACAAAACAAAAACAAAAACAAAAAACAAGAAGCAAAAAAAAAAAAAAGATCAAAATTTAAAACTTTTTAAAAAAGACGGTTTTAAAATTATTATTTTTTTGCCGCATTTTATACCAGGAAAAACCTGATTGATTTACTTCTTCTTCTACATTAACTTTATTATTCTGATCTGCACTCTTTATTGTGTCTTTTTCTTGTGTATGATTACAAAAAGGATATGATTAAGTGGTAATTGAACTTCGTGTCGTTCAATTTTGTTCTGAAATCAAACTTGCAATTACAAAACGCACACCCGCTACGCGGTCGTGCGATTTCGTCATCGCGCGTTTGATTTCAGACCAAATTGCACTCCACTCAGTTCAATTACCATCATTTATCATTACTGTTTAAATTTCTCTTGGTTCATTTATATTAATCACATGCGAAAATAACACCATTGGTAAGAATTCTTAGAAATCGCATTAAATAGTAAAAAATCCACTCAAATTGTATTTCATTGATAATTATTATTATAGAAAATCAAACGATCTCAAGTACAATTCGTAATTTATAGCTACGAGTGTTGATTTGAAAGTTTTCAGAATTGGACTAGCCTTTTGTTGTGTCTATTTTGAGGACTTTCAAAACATGAGAATCTATAAATTCGGAATTGTACGAGAAGATTATACAGTTTTTTGTGCAATCAAAATTGAGTAATTTTGTTGAGTGTATTAATATAACATATTAAACAGAATACTACATGGCTGATTGGAGATACAGATTTTATCTTCTTGTGTTGAGAATATCTTACTTGTTCGCAGCGCTCACTCGTAAGATATGACCTCAACATTCGAAGAAAAATCTGTATCTCCGGATGCACATGTCCTCTATTTATTAGATGGTTGGTATAGCTAGTGTGATGCTGTTTATTTTGCCTTAGTTTGTATCAGGGATGTTATTCTATACTGTGACTAGTTGTTATGCTATAATGTGCTCCCATTTTTATCAGGAGAATACCTGTATCAAAGATTCCGATCCAAGCTGAAGACGAAGATGTTGCAGATGAACGTTGTCGAGTTTTAGGTGGTGATGCTTCCAACGACTTGGTTCGAATAGAAAATTTAACCAAAGTAAGGATGCTGACCTGTCTTCTCACTCTTTCTCACTTCGAGAACTATTATTTGGTGTGCAACTCATGGCTCCGACTCGGGCAATAGAAAACCAGTCACCGTTGCAGCAGTTTTCTCAGTGAATTTAAAATCTTGTCCAACGAAAAGCTATAAAGGATCTCTTTTTTTAAAGGGTACTTGACAGAGTAATCTATATTGAGATATTTTAGCTAATTTGTTGAGCTTGTGGGACATAGCAACGGTAACTAAGGGAGTCGGAACCATGAACTGCTTGTTTGAAGTCTTTTTGTTAAATATCTTTTCTATCTTTTTCCGCAGGTATATTACTCTCGTAAACGAGGGAAGCATTTAGCAGTGGATCGTCTTTGCTTGGGAATCCCTCAAGGAGAGGTGAGAACGAAAATACCAGCTTGTTTACTTATAAGTTCGCGACGATGAAATTTGTAGCTTCCTTTTTTTGTCTTTATCGAAAGACATTTCATAGTGAAGTAAAATGTCACTTTCCTTATATGGAGTTTAAAAATTGGCGGCCATTTTTTCTGATATATACATCATATACTCAATACTTGAGCAACCAAAGATTATAATAATTAACAATTATTCGCCGAAGGCAAAGTGAATATCGGGGAATATTTACCGAGACGCGCGTCTTCGAGCGGCGAGTAAAAATATATAGCTCTTATTAAGCGCTTAGCGCGCGGGCCATAAAAAAGTGGAAAAACGAGGATCCATAACTTACGGTACGGACCGAGCAAACGAGGTTATTAAAATATTTATTATAATAATGGCAAGGCATTGAGATTTAAAAGAGGCGAAACAACGAGAAGTACAGCGAATGTCAAACGAGAACTGCATTGGAAGGGCTTCCTGTACGTGCCACTAAGCATGTAGTGTTTGATTCGCTCAGAAAGAGAAGATTTAGTTTACTTTGAATGAATTTAGCTATAGTTAAGTTTTCTGAAATACCGCTCCTGATTCCTCCCCCACAAAATGGACAAGTTGCGCAATAATACCCAGGGGTCTTTAGGACATTACCCAAGAGACCTTTGCGGGCTTTTGCTATAGGGTTCCGGTATACAGTCCGATTAATTAGCATGTTCCAACTGTCAATCAATATCACTAAGTTGCCAAGTGATTCAGAGAATGCGGAGCTAGCTGATCACGTGACGTAAATTAATACCTACGCATGCTCTTTTATGCTGACTGCTGGGCCGGGTTGTTCAAAAGCTCGATTAAACTAATCTAGGATTAGACCTAAACCAAGATTAATTTTTTTAAATCGCAGTTTAGTTAATCTATGGTTTAAATGTCGTTGTTCAAAGCTGGATTAGTGGGTCGATTAACTAATCCCCCATTACGCGACTTAATCTACGATTAGCATCCCAAAATGCACTGCCCGGGTTAAAGAGGGGGTTAAATTTAAACCAACTCTCAAGGTGGTTCAAATCGATAAACTAGTATTAAAATAAAGATTATGAAAACAAAATGGCGGGTCTGTTCAATTTTTTCGCACAGCAAAGAGAAGCTCGTAGATATAGGTTTAAAAGCTCTTGTAACGAGGAATACTGACAGCAAACTTGTGTGCAATACAGATTCGGAACAGAAGCCATTATTTACATGAAAAATCTTATTTCCTAAAAGGTTCGTAAACGTACTTTGCAAAATCTCTGAACTCTCGTCAGATTTTATGTGCAAATTTTAAATACAACAGACAAACAACTGACTACTGAGATAATGATGGCATTTAAAAAGGATTCCATTTGTTCAAGAAGAATTTTAAACAGAAGAACAGACGAAACGATAAAGAAAGTGCAAGTTAACTAACAAGAATCTTAAGAAAATTGTAAACATGGCAAGGCTTTGAATGATCTGACGACAAAGTTTTCGTAAATATAGTATTTCAGTTTATCACTTATTVATTTAAAAAAATATGCCAAGAACTGATAAGGCAATAGATATCGGAAAGGGAGTTTTGGTGACAGCAATGATAGAGACAAAAAGCTATAGAAATAGAGCAAGTTTAAGCTTTACGTTAATACTTCGAGACGAGTTCTCAAATATGAATGAAAGTGTCACCGGTTGACCATCAGTCCCCTTGTACAGTAAAATTTTCAGTGTCATTTTTTGTTTTCAATACTACCAATATTATTAGCTAGTAGGTTTATGCTAAAACAATTATTAGACTACTCGTTCTCCTTTTCCATGAGTCAAATAGTCGCATTCGGCGCTACGCCTCATCGCCGCGGACTATCTAATGACTCACAGACAACTCGACCTCGTAGTCTAATTGTTACTGATAAGTCACTTAAATCTTTATCTTAATACGCGAGATTTGATAAATTTTGGCAACGAATTTAAAGGTAGATTTCGAAAGTTGTGATGTGATGTCTGACAGTTGGACGACCGAAAAATCATTTTTTAACGAGAATCTCTCCGAAAAATTCAACCTACATGCGTTGGAAAGAGAGGAAGGAAAATTTTGAGAATTTGTGGACATTAGCATTGTAGTTGGTTAGGCTTCTTGAAAGTGCCAATCACCTTTCTGACAATATTCTCAGTTTGATCCTACATAAGCATAAACCTCTATTTTATTTATTGCCTGGTGTAAAATTTTGAATGACGCGAAAACATTTCATAGTTTGAGTGCGGCTTCTTGAAGTCATAAAGATTTTTCCAAGTCATATTCTAATGCTGTGAGGAGTAGTTATTAAATATACAAAACATTACTGGCACATATAAATCAAATTTAAAATGCTTCATTGTTTTCCCCATTGCTCTTATAAACATTATTTTTTTTGTTGGATCTGCTGTCCAAACGAACGCAACATTGTTAGGCTACGATTCGTTGACCGTGAAACAAAAGAAATGTTGAGAGTTGCTTGAAAGTTTGACTAGTTTCAAACTTCACCCAACAGCATCCAACAAGTCAGGGCAACACGCAACATGGTGTTAAACGCTCCCAACATGTTCAGCCCAACGATGTTGGAAGTTGTTGGCCAACAATATTGCGCTCGTTTGCTCGGGCCTTTAAAGACTCCTCATATGCCATAGCATCCACAGTTTTTGCGTTTTCATGTTCCATATTTTGAATACAACTATACTGAAAATGAATGGCATTCATTAAATGCTCTGAGAGATATGCTGAAATCTATGTTGAAGGACACTGAAATAAAAAGATGACCTCATCAACCTCCTAAATAGCATAAACTTAAAACTTGAATATCTCTCGGACCAAAAAATGCGAAATTCATCTTTTGTAAAGTACTTTAACATGTCCCTAAATAGTAAAAATTTCATTGTCGTCACACTTTAAAAATGAAATTGAAATTGCGGCTTGTTTTTTTTAGTGTTTTGGTCTTCTTGGGGTCAATGGTGCAGGCAAGACGAGTACGTTCAAAATGCTGACTGGTGACACATCGATGACAGCAGGCGATGCTGTACTTAACTCCTATAGGTAAACCACACATATTGACTATTAGTATCATTAACCAGGTGATTATATAAAATCTTCTTAGGATTGCGCGCGCTCCATTAAATTTGTTGATGCGTACCACTTTGAAAATATGATAGAAATGAATAAAGAAATCTCAGAAGCAAACCGATTTTATGTTCTTTTAAATAAACACCTGTGTAATGGTACTAAAACAATTATTCGCCTTAGGGTTAGTGATTATCCGTGAACGAAGACTCACGGCTAGGTAAACATTTAACACTTATTGACTGAGACCGAGGGAAACAGTGTGTTTAGGTAATTTCTAACACATTGCTGTTCCAAGTTTCCATTCCATAAGTGTTTTGTTCTATACAAACTGTCAAAGAACACGCAGCAATTATTTCATTTTTTGATTATTTGATTTTTTTAAACTTAGGATAACTTACATTTCCGGGGGAATCACTTCCTCTATTGTTATTACTAGTCAACAACATATTGTTGCCCGATGAGAGCTGCTGCTTTTGTAACTTGTTTACGTTCACGTGATACCATCTCGCGCCCAATCAGAGTTTAAGAAAAATGGACTTTGACAGTTGGTATCGATGATTAATGTTGAATCTTCGTTCACTGTGTAAAATCCAAGCGCCACTGGGTTATCATTATAATGAGTGTTTTTTTTAAAAAGACGCTCTTGGAGCGTGCACTGGGTTGCCCGATGTGCTGGTATGCTGGAGCTTATTTTAACACCTTATCTTTGTTATGTACCGCTTTTTGGGAGGAGGGGAAACTTTTTAGGTGTATTTTTCCTTTCAGAACTTCCGAAGACTTGACTTATTTTTTCTAACATCAAATTTATTCGGTGTACGCTTTTGAATTAGAAAAAAAATGTTTTATGTCTTTGTAAACAAAACACTCACATCAGTCTCTAACCCCTAATTCACCAAAAATATATCCATTTTGAAAACACTGGCAAATCCTGCAATTGGATTGACTCTCAGCAGTACGATTTCAGCACGAATTACACCCTTTTCTGTTTTAAATCACACTGTTTTGAAGAGCCAATGAAATTGCAGAAGAAAAATCATTTGACCAATCAGATCTCAGAAGGAAGCCAAAGACAATTAGACAATTTAGAAGCCAGAGACATTACAGTTAATGCAATCTGAGCGACATCTTATTTAAAAGAAAGCAACAATTCAGTGACCATGTTGTCCCATTAACGAATCACATGTTGAGTACTGTGAATGAATGGAGAGCTTGGAGAAACCAACGACTTAACTTATCAGAACTGCCTCAACACAGATTTACTCCATGTTTTGGGATCAGAGGTTGGTGATTTTTTAAAGCCCATAATTTGACACAGGTCAAAGCTACACAGGTTACACGTTTCTTTGAAAGCCAATACATACAAACATATATACTTTATTGGTAACTCCCAATATGGGTTTTTCAGTTACACATCTAAAATGTAGAAATATAGAATAGATAAAAATATGTACAAAATATTAAACTTAATTACTAGTTACAACTAGTAACAATTATAATTTACAACCTGTATAAGAGAAGAATTTCGGCCCTGTGGCAAGACGGAAATAATGGATTTTTGAACGCAAGACGAACTTATTAGTATAGGAAATCGCACGATCTCGAGTACAATTT